TGACCACTCTTCGGGTGCTGCTGCACGTTGCCGCTCAGCGTGACTACGAGCTTCACTCTCTGGACTTCAGCACAGCGTTCTTACAGGGCAGTCTGCACGAGGAGATCTGGCTGCGCCGCCCATCTGGCTTCACTGGGTCGTTTCCTCCTGGTACCCAGTGGAGCCTCCGCCGGCCAGTCTACGGTCTCCGTCAGGCGCCTCGTGAGTGGCACGACACACTGAGGACGACACTGGCGGCTCTTGGGTTTGCTCCTTCCACTGCTGACCCGTCGCTGTTTCTACGCACCGACGTCTCGCTGCCGTCGTTCTACATGTTCGTGTACGTCGACAACTTGGTCTTTGCCACTGCTGACACTGAGGCACTCGCTCTTGTGAAGTCGGAGCTGCAGAAGAGACACATGTGCACAGACCTGGGTGAGCTGCGCAGTTACCTTGGCTTGCAGATCACCCGGGACAGAGCACGCCGCACCATCACCCTGACTCAGTCACACATGGTGCAGCAGGTCCTTCAGCGCTTCGGCTTCACTTGGTCCTCGCCACAGTCCACTCCTATGGCTACCGATCACTCGCTCTCAGCTCTGCCTTCGGATGAGTCCGTAGAGCCGAGTGGCCCGTACCCAGAGTTAGTGGGCTGCCTCATGTACCTGATGACCTGCACTCGACCTGACCTTGCGTACCCTCTTAGCATCCTGGCTCGCTACGTTGCGCCCGGGAGACACCGGCGAGAGCACTGGGAGGCTGCTAAGAGGGTGTTACGCTACTTGTGCAGTATATCGGGCATGGGGCTCGTGCTTGGAGGATGGGGTGACGTTGTCCTCACTGGACACTCAGACGCTTCTTGGGTCGACGACCTGGCTACGCAGCGATCGTTACAGGGGGTACACGTTCAACCTTGGCTCTGGCTCTGTTTCTTGGCGGTCTACACACTCGTCTTCTGTTCTCAGCTCCAGTTGTGAGGCTGAGATCTACGCCACAGCCATGGCTGCTCAGGAGTTACGCTGGCTCACCTACCTGCTGACCGACTTGGGAGAGCGGCCTCGTTCTCCTCCAGTGCTGTACGTCAACAACAAGGCTGCCATTACCTTGTGTCAGGAGCACAGACTGGAGCGCAAAACGAAGCGCATCGCTCTGCGTTACTTCCTTGCTCAAGAGTTGCAGCAGCGTGGTCAGCTTCGTGTTTCTTACGTGACCACAAGGGCCAACACTGCTGATATGTTCACCAAGGCACTTCCGCCTTGTGACCATCAGTACTTTTGCACAGCTTTAGGCCTGGTGCCAGTGTTTGCTCACTTGCTTACCTCTTGACTTTGTTTGTACTGTGATCTATATTATATACCTGCATGCCTACTCCTGCTAGGTAGTGATCACTGTACTTTGTTTGTTGCATATATACCTCTGCATGTGAACTGGCCTTGTGGCCCTTTGTTTGTGCTCAGTGTGTGTGGTGACGTTGTGATCCACCCTGGGCTTGCTTGCTTTTCTTGACTGGTCTTGTGACCCCTTGTTCTCCCCCACTTTGCCTATGGGGGTGTGTCAAACTATATATGTGTTAGTTCTGTGTAGGTTGTAGTGGGGTAGCCCATATGGGGTACAACCCAATGTTAGGGTTAGTACTTGTACCCACAATGTCTTCAATGCAATCATTTTCCTGCTTCTAGTGTTGACATCGCCAAGGCAACTTAAACACTCCCGAGTCCCTACCACAATCTTACTTCTAGAACAATGCTTCACCTACCCCCTGCCTGTGCCCATGTCTCCCGTCTTTCTACCTGCGTTCGTGAGGCTGTAGGTGGCCGCCATGCTCCCATGTTGATTTACACCCATGCCTATGAAAAGCATGGGCAAGGCAGCTTACTCCCCTCCCCCCATTGCCTACTTCCCCTTTACCCCTCACGCATTCGTGGGGCTGCTAGAGGGCGCCATGCTGCCTACGGGTTCAACGCCATGACTATGAAGAGCGTTGACAAGGCAACTTACTCCCCCTTCCTCTCTTTCGCACCTCCCCATTACACACACACACCTTTGTTGGCCTGCTTGTAGGCGCCATGATGCCCTACGGGTTCAATGCCATGACTATGAAGAGCATCGGCAAGGCTGCACACCCTTACTGCTCCTTCTTTCCCCCTCTCTCTGCCCACCTCCCCCTTGTCCCTCAAATATTTGTTTGCCTACTGGTGGGAGCCATGCTGCAGTATTGGTTCAGCGCTATGACCATGAAGAGCGTCGGCAAGGCAGCCTTGGCAATGGTGGACGAGGTGCGGCGGCAGTTAGACACCATCCCGGGCCTCATGGAGGGCATTGCCCGCCCCGACTACCGCAAGTGCGTGCAGATTTCCACCAAGGCGTCGCTCAATGAGATGCTGCCACCTTGGCGCGCTCGTGCTCCTCCTGCCAATCATCACCGGGACTCTCTTTGGGTCGGCGACGCTAATAGGGCTCCTAGCTGGAGCGCTGGTGTCAGGGGTGCAGATGGCGGTATCGGCGAGTAACAGGGGTGGCGCTTGGTCCACGAGCGCGCTTGGTCCAGGCGCGCGCATGGTCCACGCCGCGCTTGGTCCACGCATGCGCTTGGTCTAGGCGCGAGCTTGGTCCAGGCGTGCGCTTGGTCGCGCTTGGTCCACGCGCGCGCTTGGTCCAGGCGCGCACTTGGTCCAGGCTCTCGCTTGGTCCTGCGCGCGCTTGGTCCAGGCTTGCGCTTGGTCCACGCGCGCGCTTGGTCCACGCACGTGCTTGGTCCACGCGCGCGCTTGGTCCTCGGGTGCGCTTGGTCCACGCACGCGCTTAGTCCACGTGCGTGCTTGGTCCACGTATGGGCTTGGTCCAAGCGCGCGCTTGGTACGAGTGGCGCTTCATCCAGGCGCGAGCTTGGTCCACGCACGCGCTTGGTCCAGGCGCGCAAGCGCGCACTTGGTCTAGGCGTGCTCTTGGTCGAGGCGCGCGCTTGGTCCAGGTGCGCTCTTGATCCACGTGCGCTCTTGGTCCACGCGCGCTTGGTGCACGCGCACGCTTGGTCCAGGCACACGCTTGGTCCCGGCGTGCGCTTGGTTTAGACGCGCGCTTGGTCCAGCCGCGCGCTTAGTCCACGCACGCGCTTGGTCCACGCCCGCGCTTGGTGCACGCCCGCGCTTAATCGACGCGCGCGCTTGCTGCAGGAGCGCGCTTGCTGCAGGCGCGCGCTTGCTCCAGCGCTTGGTCCACGCCCGCGCTTGGTGCACGCCCGCGCTTGATCGACGCGCGCGCTTGCTCCAGGAGCGCGCTTGTCCAGGCGCGCGCTTGGTCCAAGCACGCGCTTGGTCCAGGGGCGATCTTGGTCCACGCGCACGCTTGGTCCACGCGCGCGCTTGGTCTATGCGCGCGCTTGGTCCAGGCGTGCGCTAGGTCCATGGCCGCGACTGGTCCACGCGCGCGCTTGGTCTACGCGCGCGCTTGGTTTGAGTGGCGCTTGGTCCGAATGGCCCTTGGTCAGAGTGCGCGCTTGGTCCACGTGCGCGCTTGGTCCACGCTCGCGCTTGGTAGAGGCACGCTCTTGGTCCACGTGCGCGCTTGGTCGAGGCACGCTCTTGGTCCACGCGCGCGCTTGGTCCAAGCGCGCTCTTGGTCCACGCGCGCTCTTGGTCCACGTGTGCACTTGGTCGAGGCGCGCGCTTGGTTGAGGCGCGCGCTTGGTCCGATTGGCGCTTGGTCCTAGTGCGCGCTTGGTCCACGCGCGCGCTTGGGCCGAGCGCGCACTTGGTCGGAGTGGCACTTGGTCCACGCACGCGCTTGGTCCTGGTGCGCGCTTGGTCACTGGTGCGCGCTTGGTCCTGGTCTTGGTGCGCGCTTGGTGTCAAACTACTATGTTGTTTATATTGTCTAGGCTGGAGGGTAGCCCACAAGGGGCTATAACCCAACTCTAGGGTTAGTACTTGTACCCAGTTCTGTTTCAATGCATTCATTCCAGTCTAGTATTTGAACACTTGGTCCTGGTGCATTGTGCCACTGGGTAATGACAAGCAAAATACACTAGTACCTGGCAATTTCAGAGTGGTAGGTTGGGCAGGTGGTGCAGCTTTTCTAAAAACTTTTGAAGCTATGCTAGATACTGAATTGCGGCAACAAAGATGGCATTAGTCAAGTAAATTAACGAATAGAATACCATTGAAATATAAGAAATGTGGCAGGCTTCTCCAGCACACCATTGCAATGAACATGTACCATAGTGAGAAAATCCTAAGTATGCCATTTAGCAAGGTAAACCACTCATACTAACAGTGTACAACATTCTCAAGGCTGGCAACTAACTAGTGTAGGTATGTATTGAAGTCCCTTCAGGAGCAGAGAAAATGGAGGATTGCAAATGGACAACTTGATTATCCAGAGGGCAGATTGATGCAGAGGGCGAAGCAATGAAGGGCTTGCAAAGGGCAGGTTCATGCTAAGGCAGAGAGCAGGTTGATGCAGATGCAGATGGGCTGATGCAGGTGCAGGGTTGATGCAGGTACAGATGGGTTGATGCAGGTGCAGATGGGTTGATACAGGTTCAGATGGGTTGATGCAGGTGCAGAAGGGTTGATGCAGGTGCAGATGCAGAGTTGATGCAGATGGCACAGATGCATTCCAATATCACAACCATGGCCACATACACACACACGCACACATGTACATGCACACATGCACATGTATACACGCACACGCACACACACACACATGCACACACACACACACACATGCACACACACACACACACATGCACACACACACACACACACACACACACGCACACGCACACACACACACACACGCACACACACACACACGCACACACACACACGCACACACACACACACACACACACACATGCACATCATCACCATACACACATGAACAGATCACACATGCACCACATTCTTCCAAGAAATTGCAGCAGCCTTACAGTTGTCTTCATTCCTCTGCAGAACAGCACAGACAAGCAGAATGAAACATGAGCAGCAGCAATTACAGTAGAAACAGCAAATCACAGTATGGACATGTACACTCACCATTGCCACCAGGAAACACCAGGTTTCAACATGTTGCAGAACGCATCCTCACCCCTCCACTCTCCTTCCACTCCCCTCCACTCTCCTTCCACTCCCCTCCACTCTCCTTCCACTCCCCTCCACTCTCCTTCCACTCCCCTCCACTCTCCTTCCACTCCCCTCCACTCTCCTTCCACTCCCCTCCACTCTCCTTCCACTCCCCTCCACTCTCCTTCCACTCCCCTCCACTCTCCTTCCACTCCCCTCCACTCTCCTTCCACTCCCCTCCACTCTCCTTCCACTCCCCTCCACTCTCATTCCACTCCCCTCCACTCTCATTCCACTCCCCTCCACTCTCATTCCACTCCCCTCCACTCATTCCACTCCCCTCCACTCATTCCACTCCCCTCCACTCTCCTTCCACTCCCCTCCACTCTCCTTCCACTCCCCTCCACTCTCCTTCACCCCTCCCCTCTCACTACTCTGCTCCCCACCCAACACTGTACGTGCCTCACTCTTTCCCCCCCAAAAGTACCTAACAACTCTATGAACCCAGTTACACCCTTTAACAAGACGTTGTTCAGATTGCAGAAGTCGTCAACTCTGCTCCCCACAGTTGTACCTCACATAGTTGCACTTTAGTTGCATCCTTCACCAAACTTCTTTTCCAATGCCAAGTCCCACCCACTCATACCGCATACCATCCACAGCATCCCATCCTCCTTGTCGTTCCTTGCAGCAGCAGCACCACTCCTTGCAGCACCACCAACCCCCCTTGCGGCAGCAGCACCCCGCCTTGCAGCAGCACCATTCCCCCTTGCAGCAGCAGCGCCACTCTTACCAGCAGCACCCCTTGTAGCAACAACACCCGTCGTAGTAGCAGCTCTCCCCTGTAGCAGCAGCACTCCTTGCAGAAGCAGCCACAGCGCACACCACTCCCACCAGCAACAATCAGCAATAATCACCACTCCTATGCACCAACAGTGCTGAACACCAACTACCATCCACTCTAACAAAAACTATACTACTCAGCAGACAAAATAATCAGACAAAATTAGTGTCTAAAAGGCAAGCACAGGAACACGAGAGACTAAGTGTGTATTAAAAAAAAAAAAAAATGGCGGTTATGGACTCAGGGTGCTGCCTTGGGATGCCACGTCAGCCTGCTAAGAAAGAAGCCAAAGCTCCTTCCAGAGAGACTATCAACAGTGTGGCGTGCTGTGCACCCATATGCCCAGGGGAAATGCCCTCATGAGAAGGTGCTCCCAACAATTACCCACTTAAAAAGCGGGTAATTGCGCACATGGGTCACATCCCAAGAGGCAGCTGCCTCATCATCGTCCAGTAGGGAAATGAGGACATGTGGAGAGGCTGAGGACCGTAAGGGAGAAGGTGGTATATAAGGCATAGGTGGATGAATAATAGTATAACTGGGAAACCCAAGGGTATATTGTAGAGGGCGTGTAAGATGTAATTCTGCGGGTTTAGGAAATTACACTCTGGGGATTGCTGGGGGAAGGGAGTATGTACAACAGAGGGACAGCAGGGTATGACACAAGAGGTAGACAGGGAATACTAGGGAGTGCTTATGGTCATAATCTTAACTGGTGGCTTATGGTCATAATCTTAACTGGTGGCTTATGGTCATAATCTTAACTGGTGGCTTTACTGTGTGGACAGCTGAATAGCTAGAGGACAGAAAACAGGGGAAATACCTTGGGACTAAAGACTCCATGGGCGGACATGGATAAGGGAGAAAAATTCAGTTGGTATAGCCGGTAGCTTTGCTGTACGACTTGTCAGGTGGTGGACATGACACGGGGAATTACGAAGGATGCTGGTTTGGACATGGTTAATTAGGGAGACGGGTATGGTTGGTAGAACTGGTGGCTTAACTGTGTGGAGGGCTTGTCAGGTGGATGCTCTACCTACACATGCTCAACGAGGGCTTCCTCTCATCCGCACATCACATCCTTTTCACAACTTCACTTCACTGCTGATTCTCCTGATATGTTCCTTCAAATCACCAACGTCAACCTTTTATAAACACTCTCCTTCTTGCAACACTCCCTCCAACTTTTTGTTGCGCTATTACTCTCAAGTGCTCCTTGTGAGACTCAAAACCACGTTCTGTGACACCCTTATCCATGTCAATCTAGCTCTGTGTCACACATCCATTTCACACTTCTCTCTATGTGCCCACATCCCTTCCTCTAGTGTCCGGCATCTCACATCTCTTGGGTCGACTCAGTTTTTTCTCTTGGGGTAACTCAAAGTTGCTTTCTCGTGAGACTCTCAACCACCTCTTCCTGTAAAGAGCTCAAGACCTCGGACATCACCCTGTGACATGCTTACAACCTCCATCCTCACTGTGCATTCTCTTATCCTTATCTTTGATGATGCGAGTCGAGTTGCTTCTTCCAACCGAGTTGCTTGCTTCAGACTTCAACGCGTTTTCCCATGCCAACTGTTAGCTGCAGACTGCTACTGTCACTCCTCTCCTCCCCCCCCCCCCCCCCTCCACCACACAGCACCATACAGCACCACTGCACTGCACACTACAAAAACTGGTTGCCCCACACCTTGCCCCGCCACACAGCACCGCACAGCACCATAACGAAATGCTGGAAGCACCAAAACACCCACACTGACCACTAGCCGGTTGAGAAGACCCACTTCCAGCCGTTGCTCAAAACACCCACTCCGACCCCGCCACACCGCACAGCACCTTGGAGAAATGTAGGAAGCACCAAAACGCCCGCACTGACCACTAGCCGGTTTAGGAAACCCACTTGCTGCCGTTGCTGAAAACACCTTGCCACTCCCGCCCACCCAGACAGCACCGCAGAGCACCTCAGAGACGTTGGAAGCACCAAAACGCCCACACTGACCAGTAACCGGTTGAGAGGTCCTGCTTTGCTGCTGTTGCTCAGAACACCCTGCCCCTAATCCATCACACCGCACCGCACAGCACCGCAGAGCACCTAGGAAGCACCAAAACCCTAAACCCTGGACTGACCGGTAACAGGTTGAGAAGACTCGCTGACTGCCGTTGCTCGAAACACCCTACAGCTCCTGCCCCACCACGCAGCACTGCACACCACCGCACACAACTGTACGCGATTCACAACAAAGGAACTGCTGCTAAAAGCATATCCACACCTGCTCGTTTTCTGCTGCAAACTGCCCTCCAATATTAGAAACCTTCAGTAGCCACTCGCACCCCTGCCCACCACGCAGCACCACACAGCGCCAACTTCGACCAAGTAGACAAGCCAAAGTGCCAAAACGCCCACACCTGAAGGACTAATCGCTGGAGAAATATATCCCCTTTCTGCTGTTGCTCGAATCGCTCTGCCACTCCTGCCACTGCATAGTACCGCACAGCACCAAATGCGTCCAAAAACGAAGAACTTGCAGCTACAAGCCAAGATACCCCCACCTGCTTGCTCCTCTGCTGCTCCAATAGCCATCCATTGACGTTGCTAATACCCATTGACAGTCTTCCTCCCCTGCCGACCACACAGCACCGCACAGAACTACAAAGCACCACGCAGCACCAACTCCGACCCAGCAAATAAGCTAGAAAGCCAAACCGCGCACACCTGACCACTAGGCACTTGAATTGCCACACTCGCTGCTGTTCCTTGGAAGAATCTGCCCCTCCTGCCCCACCACGCAGCACCACACACCACCGCACAAGGCCGAATGCAAGAGGAACAAAAAGCCTCCAAATACCAAGACACTGCCACCTGAACTGCTGCTTCGGAATCTCCTCTTCATAATGGTAGACACTACGGTTGACCACTTCCTCTTCTGCCCAGAAAGCACCACCGCAAACCACGCAGCACCACACAGCACAACCTACGACCGACAGGAAAAAAACTACAGATGGAAACAGCCCACACTGACCACTAGTCGATTGGATAGTACCACTCATTGCTCTTGCTCGACCATTAGCCGCTTCAGCCACTCCTGCCCAACAACACTCCACCACACAGCACCGTGTACAACCAACAACAAAAACAAATTGCTGCAAGAAGAACCACACCTGACCGCTAGACGCTTGGATAGCCCCATTCACTGCTCTTGCTCAACCACTAGCCACCACTAGTCGCTTCAGCCACTCCTGCCCAGCCACACTCCACCACAGCACCGTGTACAACCAACAACAAAAAAAAACGAAACGCTGCAAGAAGCACCACACCTGACCACCAGCTGATAAACTCTTCCACCCCTTGTTACCCCTTGTCACCATGAACCATAACGTCCTCTGCGTCCCCCTGCCTTCAATCTCCCTTCCCTGCATATCAACCCTCCACGCAGCACCACACTCCACCACACAGCACTGTGTACAACCAACAGCGTAGAACAAAATGCTGCAAGAAACACCACACCTGACCGCGCAGCTGTTTAACACTTCAACCCCTCTTGCCACGAGCCCACAATGCCCTGGCGTCCCGTCACTCCTCTCCCTCCGTGTATCGATCGTCCACACAGCAGCAGCACGACCCCAAGAGGAGACCAGCCTATGCAGAACTGCTAGCTTATAACTGCTGCCTAAAAAACTGCACTACAACTGCTAATGAGAAAACTGCAACCTAGAAGATCAGCCAAGGGAGCCTTAGGAAAAAAAGATGTTCAAGCTATCACTTTGAGGTAGATATGAGAAGACTGATGAGAATGGACAGGACGTCTAAGGATTGGGAAGAGATTCAGCTAAAAGGATGGAGTATTGAGGTATGAAAAAGAGCTAAAAAATGCTATCCAGATTGCTTGAATCGTCGTATCAGTCAGAAGGCGTACTCGAGTCATGTCAATTGAATGGTTGAAGTCAATGAAAAACGGCTTCTAGTCGAATTGAAAATTAATGGAAAAATGAGAAGTGGAAGGCTCATCCCGAAAGTGGACTCAATCGAAGGTGAATTGGTCGAGAGGGATTACTGGCAGGAATAGGAGGGGTTTCAATAATGGCAGATTGACAGTCAAGCAGTCAGGCACTCAAGAAAGGAAGTATGGTGAAAGGGGTTTGAGAGGAAGTATGGTTTCCAGTTAAACCAAGATGGCACAGTGCAGATGAGGTGAAAAGGGTTTGACCTAAGAGCATGTATTGAAGGCAGCTTTGACTGAGGCTCATGCATAGGAGCTGATAGGTTTGACTGAAAGAGCATGAGATGATGTGATGTCGCTTTGACAGAAGATGATGCAGAAGAGCTGATGTGGTTCGACTGAAGAGCACGACATGACATGGCTTGGCCAAAGAGCATGGCGATGATTGACGTGGTTTTTGAGTGAAGTGGTTTGCATATGTGAATATGGCTTGACCAGCATCAAAGAGACGCGGAACCAGGAACGAAAGTTCAGCGGAGGGGGAAGTGAGCAGGTACCGAAGCAGGAACGCGAACACATGGGCCGAAGGTGTTGCAGTTAGCAGAAGGGAGAGCAGGTACCGAAGCAGAAGTGCAATGATCAGTCATCAGAGAAGCAGCTACACAGCGTCACTCATCAGCTTGCCTGGTTACTGCCTTAGATGCGTCCACCAAGCAGTCACATCTCCTGTTGCATCAACTCCTGTGGTGGGAAAACGAGAAAAAAGACAGAGCCACCAGCACCAACCACACAGCCCAGCAGCAGCAGGAACACCAACGAAGCAGCCCAACACACAGTAGACACGAGCAGAGGCACACAGCAGCAACACAGCTTCAACTACAGCTTTCCTGGCTTCCCTCACGGCTTCCCTCTTTATTAGCTACGTATGAGGAGATAAACCACTGGGGAGAGATGAACCGCAGTAACTGCCACCACCACCCCGCCCACCACCACTCGCCACAGCTTCACCAGCCCAACCATGTTCCCACGAGCAATAGCACCCACAAGAACCGAAGACAACCGAACAGCAGCACCTGAAAACCCAGCAGAAGCAGGAGCCCCGAATTGCAAAGCAGGGATAGACGCACCACGATGCAGCACTCTTCAGATACCTCCCATATTAGCTGTCGTAACTTCAACCAAACCGCTCAATAGCTCTCAACCTCACCTGCCCGCTCCAGCCTACACTACTAAGCACCTAGACTATACCATCCTCTATATCTGAGCAGCCATATTTCTCAAAGCCAGAACCATCTCACTTCACATGCAACAGCCGCTTCTACATGTCCCCATTCTTTCTCTGCCTCAACTTCCACTGCCAGACGTGTGTCCTCACTCTCTACTTTACCACCACTGTCTCACTGTTCCATCCTCTCCACCACCACACCACCACACCACCACACCACCACACCACCACACCACCACACCACCACACCACCACACCACCACCATAACCCCCCACCACAACCACCTCTGCCTACTCTCACAATTCTCACTTCACTAAACCCGAAACCGCTATCACAACGCTTCACTTCACAACCACTATCACAACCATCATCAGCACATACCAATAACCGAGACCTGGCCTTCAGCTACCTATCTCTACCTCGTTCTCCACATGAATCGTTGTCTGTACCTCCTTCACTGTCTGCTCCGCCCCCTATCTAACTACAACAGCTTCACTTCCACCACAACACGTAATACCCCACTTAAAACCTTTCCACCTTCCTCTAGCCACAGCACCTGTACTCCCTCCACACAGCTGCTAACCACTACCAGCTTTTCCATCTGCCTCGGTCTTTCCACCTGTCACTACGCACATCCGCCTCTAGCCGCCTCTTTTTGCACTCCATCGCACAGCCCTCCATAGCACCACTCCAATTAGTCTCACCATCGCGCGCTCCATCCCCGGTTCCAGCGCCCGTTGCAGTCACACCAGCCCGCAGTAAACCCCCCGCTTCCAGCACCCACGCCTGCTCCACCAGAACTTCCCTCACGACTCCCAAAATCATCACCACCACGCCGCACCTCGCCCGTTGACTGTCGTCAAGCCTAAGACGTCACTGAGCAATCCGCACGCGCACCAGCGGATGTAGACGCGCACCAGCAGACGCGCACTCATTCGCTGTGCGCCAGTCGCCCCCGCACCATGCGCCAGTCGCCCCCGCACCATGCGCCAGTCGCCTCCGCACCATGCGCCAGTCGCCTCCGCACCAGCCTTATTCCCGTGCTCGTTTCCCATCCGTCCCACCATCACTTCAACCTGCACAACAATGGGGTTCGGCGTCGCAGCCTGTGGTTGTCCAGCAGACATGCAGACGCAGCAAACCCACGCAACCCACGCCCGACCGTCCTGCGCTGATACGCCGCGCATCCTTCCGCCTTCCGCCCATACGCCTCGCGCACCCGTCCGCCGCGCTCACATCCCGTGCCCCCATCCGCGCTTGCGCTCATCCGCCAATCACCTCTGCGACTGCCATCCCGTCACCGCGAGTGTCGTCCAGTCTGCACCCGTGCCTGTCTCAGAAGACGCGCGAAGTTGCAGCACACACTCGACCTCGCTCGCTCAATCCCGTCCCCGCTAGCCAATTGCCCGTCCACCGAACGCCCGTCCACCATACGCGCAGCCGCGCCCATACCGTTGAAGTCGTCCCAGCAGACATGCAGACCCTCGCTGTCGCAATCTTGTCCCAGTTCGCGCATCACCCATCCACTGAACGCCCGTCCACCATGCACCCGCCCGCGCCCGTACCGTTGTGATTGCTGTCCCAGCAGGCCAGAAGCACAGAAGCTGCAGACAAACGCACTCGCCACTCGATAACCTGCAAAAACAAACTCCTGTGTGCCTTCCCAAAGAGAAATCCGAGGTTGTCCCAGCAGACGTGCAGACAGCAGACACACGCGCGTCATTCCATCCCACCCGTGTACGCCCCGAGTCTCTCTCACCCGCCGTTCGCCACCCGCCCACCGAGGTACCTCGACCCACCCGCGCGGTCGCCAGTGCAGCCTATGGTGAACCAGCAGAAGTGCAGATGTGCCCACGTGCCGAAGTGCCTGCCCCTGTGCCGAAATGCCCCCATGTCGAAGAGCCCCCGTGCCAAAGTGCCCCCGTGCAGAAGAGCCCACATGCCACGCGCAGAAGTGCCGACGTGCCGCCCGTGCAGAAGTGCCGCCCGTGCAGAAGTGCCGCCCGTGCAGAAGTACCGCCCGTGCAGAAGTGCCAACGTGACCGCGTCCCGCCAAAGTGCGAAGTGCCCCTGTGCCAACAGCAAACGTGCAGACAAAGACTTGCGTGCCACTCCTTCCCACACCCAGCGAGTTCGCCTCTACAAAAACCTGCAAGGGAAGGGGATTGGGTGGGTGTCTCCCGTTGCAGCCCGCGGTTGTCCAGCAGACGTGCAGACGGCAGCCACTCGCCACTCGTCAATCCCGCTCGCGTTCGCTCTCGCCCGCGTTTCCAGTCCGCACAACCGCTCGCCACCCGCACGCCCCCGCGCGTGCACCCTCGCGTGTCTTCCCATCGTAGCAGCACACTTGGTCTTGAAGCAGTGACGACAGCAGAAACCCGCGCCTCACACTTGTCGCTTTCTTACTTCCTTCTCACGACCTGCAAAGAAAAGGGGACTGGGTGGGTGCCTCCTGTTGCAGCCCGCGATTGTCCCAGCAGACGTGCAGACAGAAGCCACTCGCCACACGTCAATCCCGCTCGCGCGCTCGCGTCCGACCGATTTTCCGTCCGCATACCCACTCGTCGCCCGCACGCCCCACCACGTGCATCCTCGCGCATCTTCCCATCCGCTCGCGTTCGCATCCATCTGCTTTTCCATCCGCGCACCCGCTCGCCACCCGCACGCCCCCGCGCGTGCACCCTCGCGTGTCTTCCCGTTGCAGTCGAGCAGACGGCAGACATACGCGCTCCCTCCCACAACGCTCACCCTCCACCAGTCGAGCTTGACGACAACTATACTCTCATGGCAATGACCTGCATGAAAAAGGGGTTGGTAGGTGTCTCCCGTTGCAGCCCGCAATTGTCCAGCAGACGTGCAGACAGCAGACACACGCCAAGCGATTCCGTTCGCGTTCGCCCGTTTCCCGTCCACATGACCGCTCGTCGCCCGCACGCCCCTGCGCGCATGCACCCTCAACACGCCTTCCCATCCGCCCGCGTTCGCATTCGCCCAGTTATCCATCCACACAACCGCTCGTCTCGCCCCCCGCGCGCCCCTGCGCGCATCTCCTCGCGTGTCTTCCCATCACAGCCGTGCAGACAGCAGACACACGCGCGCCCCTCTCATTTTCTTGGTACTACTTGCTTCACGACCTGCAAGAAAAGGGGGTTGGGTGGGTGTCTCCCGTTGCAGCCCGCGGTTGTCCAGCAGACGTGCAGACAGAAGCCACTCGCGACTCGATCCCATTCGCGCTCGCATTCGCCCAGTTATCCATTCGCGCACCCGCTGGCCACCCGCGCGCCCCTGCGCGTTCATCCTCGTGTGCCTTCCCATCGCAGCCATGCAGACAGCAGACACACGCGCGCGTCCCTCTCTCACGTCGATCGCCCTCCATTGACCGCGCTCTCCACTTCCTTCTAAAATCAATCTCACGACCTGCAAGAAAACAGGGGGTTCGGTGGGTGTCTCCAGTTGCAGCCCGCGGTTGATTCAGCAGACGTGCAGACAACAGACACACACGCGCGCGCGTTGCCCCGAGCCAACCTCCCCCGCTCACGTCCCACCCGCTCGTGCCCTGCACCGCCTTTCACCGCTTTCGCCTCCGCTCGCGTCCTCCACCAGCAGCCACGGTTGTCCCAGCAGACGTGCAGATGGCAGACGCGCGCCACTCAAGACCGTTCTTCGCCCCACTCGTTTGTTCCTCGTCTGAGTATTCTTTCAAAACGTCTCTACGTGTTTGTTTCTTCGTCCTGCAAAAAAGGGGGGTTGCCAAGTGTCACGCGGCGCAGCCTGTACCCGCAAACATGCAAACAGCTGACACGCGCGTCATTTCTGGCTCTCCCGCTCGCTCGTTTCTCCCCATGCACTTCGCTCCACCTCCGCACGCGTCTTCCAATCAGACGCCCGCGGTTTCCCCAGCAGACGTGCAGACAGCAGACGCGCGCCACTCCGTAACGGCGCCCATGCCACTCGCGCATTCACCCCTCGAGCCCGCACCCTCGTGTCTTCCCATCAGCGTCCGCGGTTGTCCAACGGACGAGCAGACAGCAGACACGCAGCCTCACACGCAAGGCGATCGCTTCACAACCTGCACACAAAA